GATGGTGTAGTCACTTTTATTTGACAGTGTTTAATTCTTGAATCGATGTCAACGATTTGCAGTTCCTTTCTTATATATTATCACGTATTCGGGGTTGTCGTGACTAATAATAACGGGTTCTAGATTCGGTGACTGAATTTATTGGCACTTCTATTACAATTACAACCAAATATAAACGCTCTCAATCCATGACTGCCTAAGCCTCCTTCCATTCTTTACTGGACTACGAGTGTCTTCTCTTCTATTGCGACGAATGGCGGACGACGAACGACGAACGACGAACGACGAATCACTGCTCTACGAAAGTTCATAAAATCAGAGCATTCTCTCGTAGATCCAATACAACTTAACCCCGTTTTTCATGAACGATTGTGAAGGACGTTTGTGTTTTTTTTTATCTCAGAAATTCTGAAAAGACACATGTTTGTAATATAGACAATAGGGAGTTACCTCACTAACATGACGTCATCACAGATTTATGTAGGCCTATCACTACATCGTAACGAAAGTTTCGAAATGATTCTTTGCCTCAGTGTTTTCCGAGTACAAGTCCGAGCTTGTCGCCAGGGTCACAGAGTGTGTTGGGCATATAACAAGAAGGGACCAACACACATACAGGCACTGTGAACTTTTATTAGTCCGTGATATTTCTCACAAATCGTATTGACTTCACTGCAGGAGAAGTACATTTATGGGTACATAATATAAGTGTAACATTTTATTACGGTAGTGCGGAATTACATGTCGAGGCCCTGTGTGTGTGGCTTCATTATGAATTTAAACTACGGAGAAGCTTTTTAACTATAAGAACTCCTTTCATGCTCGTAACACAAAATGGACCGATTGGACTAAGGAACAAAATGTTTTTGCCCGCTTAAACACTGAGATCGTGGGTTCGAATCGCACTCGAGGCATGGATGTCTGCGGTAGGTAGAGGCCTTGCTACGGGCCTATCTCTCGTCCAATGAGTCCTACCGACTGCCTATAAGATTCGTAATTTTATAATTGATTCTGAATACGAACGGACCAGAGAGCCCAGTCCTTCAAGGTACAAAAAAAACACAACACGGAATGCAAAAGTTTCGTTCTTCTGTGCAAGTTTATGTATCGGTGTCTATACTCAATAGGAATGAAAGTGAATAAAACTGAAAAATAAATCAGTATATAAATTGTTAATAAGATCTAATATTTTGTGACGATGATATATTAATAAAATTACTGACTCCTCGGACATTGTCCGTATTCTTATTTTTAAATAAAAAACAAGAGATGGATAATGCTGTTATACACCCCACTCCCTGAGTAGCCATCTTGTGTCCTTTGGATCAGCAAGAGCGAGCGGCTTGGAGCCCGGTCATAGACTCGTCGATGTGTGGAAGTGAACAGTGCTAAAACTTGAGACGAATGAGTGCAATGGTTCGGTTTATTACGACGAAACCTGAAACTTCGAGCTCAACTGAATTCTCACTGTCTGAAGTAAGACAGTGCCCACTTTCATACATTTTGAGTTCCATCTAACATGAACTGGATGAGACTCAGGATGTGACAAAAAAAGCAAATTCTGCATCCGCCAGCACGAAGATTAGACAGCCTGATATTCCCCAAATTTCCTTAATATTCCATAAGTTATTACAAATTATTTCCTCAAGTCTGGTAGTCCTCCACTGATGTGTAGTAACTCTGTAATCCTTTAGGAGGTATGTCAAAGGTCATTGCCACCAGACAATAGGTGTCAAAGTGTTGTTTTTCGGATCCTTTCCGTGAAACAAGGATAAATGTTCGGAAACTTTATACAGCAATGAAGACAACCAGTTACATTTCTAATAATAATAAAAATTAATGCTGCCCCTGTGACAAGCCGTCGAGGCTCCCAACATTTTCTAGACAATCGCCTCATAGATGGCAGTGAGGTTGTCAGCCTTTCGCGCCGATAGTCGTTTACCTCAAAAGTTATACTCCAAACCGTGTTTCATGCAAGAATCCTCACTTGAAATTAAGACCAATTTGCACCTTAATTGCTCTGGGTTTATAAAAACAGGACTTTGCCACGCGAGGTCTGAGAGATCCTGAGTCTTCCTGCAGTCACTGGATTGAGTCCTGAAGCGGAATCTCTTCTTGTAGGACTGAGAAACTTTCGTGAGTGTTTTTAATATTTATATTTACAACGTTCCCTGAACCAGTTGCTTCTGTGGCCGTCCTGACGTCAGAAAGTTCTGCAAAAGTCTCATATTTCTGTAATGGCTGATAACAGGACCTTACACAAATCTATACTCTATTTAAGGCATATAGCCATTTTACCATAAAAGTAATATACATGAATACAGAGTACATAGCGCGACTTTCTGTGTGCTGATTCTCCATTGTTGCGTACATATTTCCCTTTTCAAACTCTGAAATCTTAAAGCTCGTGAGTTTTAAATCAAGTAAATCGGAAGCCACATACTTTGAATTTCATGCATAATGACAGCTGGAATAAACTGACTCATACGGGTATCCCTAAATCCTCGCAATGATTGAAATGCAAGGGGGTGTATGAAATTAGGTCGTGAGCAAACTCATTCTGCTTTCCAACCGCTCACGGAGCTTCCTCGCTCGTGGAGGCGATACGTGCTTCCGAAATGTCGGTTCATACAAGATCTACACGGCGCCACATCTCAGAAGATGGCGTTTTTCGGAATAAAAACCGTCTGGCCTAAATCCGTAAATTCTCACATGGACTTCGGTAGTTATTGTATTCAGTTAGTATGAACAGGAAAGCCCATCTCTCTTAACTATATTGACCATCTTTTTATTCCTTTATTTTCTTTGAAGCGTTGAAGGTAAATTGTTGTTTACGTCCTATTAAAAGAAGTGGGAGCGCCCATATATAAGAAGGAAAACAAGAAATCTTGTCTCATCCAGCTGAACATCTCGAAAGGGCACAGTCAAACAAACAGGTGAGGACTGACACGGAGATGACGTCAGGCTATATACATACATGTAACAATTTGAGTACAATTAATTATACGATAAAACTACTATACACCATTTCAGGTTTTCATGACAGCGAAAATTCATATTGTGACATTCCGGATTATGAGACCGCGTAGTTGTAGGAAAATGCCAGCGTTGTGTTTATAAGAGATGTGGAGATGGAAGCAATATGTTCTTCCGAAACGTTGCTACCCACCTAATCAGGCTACACAGCATTGCACCTCAAAGACCACACTACAGATTTCCACTACTGTTTAATAATTGTACACACGAAGAATGTTGATTTTAGCATGTGACGCCGTGTAGTCTAATAGAAGATTCGGAGGAATTTATAGCCTCCATCTTCAGGGTAGAAGAGTAAACCGAGTAGCAATGCAGGGTATTCTTGCATTACTTACTCTTTGGCACTGAAGATGGAGAGGGTGGATTGCTCTGAAATACCAGCACACTTCTACCGACTACACGGCGCTATGTCCCAAAATATAGTAGGCCTACCCTTCACAAGTACAGGGGTGAGGGCCTCAGATCTCACAAATGCTTTTCGAATTCATTCAAAGTTTTACGCACGAAATGATTTAAATTAACGTACCATGCCCATCCATTTATTTACAAAGTTCGTTTCTAAAACTAACGGCGTTACGTGTACTTTGGTACTGACGCTCTGCACTATACTGTACAGAGGTGACTTCAGTTTTATCGCTTTACACACTCACTCCTACATTTAATGCAAATTTATTTACAATTTCTCCTTAATTTAAAGTAATATTAAAATTACATTTAATCCACTAAATGTTTCAGCTTTTCTTGGCCATCCTCAGGCAATTATTCACTTGTTGAAACCGCTATATTGCATCAGTTCTTAAGTTTAAATATTCCAGTATTAGGGCATTTTCGTCCTTCACATTAAAACACATTTGTTTGAGAACACAACTATTTATCCTGTCTTGAGCTATTTTTTTCCTGCAGCGTCCGTGTTTTATGTATTGCATAATAGGAATTTATAATCTTTGTTATTCTCAAATATTACAATTTTTACAAATTTTGAATTTTGGTTGTTGCCTTAATATTGCTTACTTGTGTTATTTTATTTAGCGCTATGAATATCGGCGTGGTGTTTTATCATTGTTATTTGTATCTGAAATATGCAAAGATGACTTATTAATTTTTTTTTAATTGTTTCATTTTGGTCCGTTACACTATCAATCACAAAGTTAATAGAAAGTCCGTCGAGTGTAACAATTTGTAGGTCACTTTTTATTATTATTTCTGCCTTACATGTTTCGGTTTGACACAACCATCATCAGAGGCACTTGCTACAATTATGGAAACACTGTCGCTGTTTTTGATGTTCACAATTATGTTTGTCGTGTGGACGCTGCTACGATATGTTGACGTGTAAAAGCACAAAACATGCTAAGATAGTTGAATACACTCTCAAGTTCTCACTTTTCATCCGAACCTATTTTTAAGTTAAAACGCTAAAATGTTAAAATATTTGATATAAAATGCTGAGCTCCTCCTTGTTAATTCATCCCGAAGATGGGATATATATAATAATATATAAAATCCTAAGTAATATAATATCTTTGCAGCCATACAACCTCAAGCTGACGTCTCCCATCTTCGGGATGAATTAACAAGCAGGGGCTCAGCATTTTATATCAAATATTTTAACATTTTAGCGTCTTAACTTAAAAATAGGTTCGGATGAAAAGTGAGAATTGAGAGTGTACTCAACTATCTTAGCATGTTTTGTGCTTTTACACGTCAACATATCGTAGCAACGTCCACACGACAAACATAATTGTGAACATCAAAACCAGCGACAGTGTTTCCATAATTATAGCAAGTGCCTCTGATGATGGTTGTGTCAAACCGAAACATAATAATAATAAGTAATAATAAATAATAATAATAAAAAGTGACCTACAAATTGTTACACTCGACGGACTTTCTATTAACTTTATGACTTATTAATATATGTTTTTGCTATATTTAAGTGTCTGTTGTTATCTTTTTATACTTACGTGCCCCATTGCCATGTACATCCACACTAGTCGAGTGTTTGTTAGGTTTGTTACTTCTGTATGGGCGTTCTGTATGATGTTTCTGCTTATATGTCTTTCGTGGGGACGTGTGCTGCTATCTGCCGTACAGTTCGTGTAATGTACGAAATATGGGGTTATATGTGTCGATGTACGTATATGTCGTTTATATGCTAGCTGTCCCTACTAGTTTTATATATTGCGATATTTTTCCGAGGTGTTCATATGTCTGCCCTTCCTTCCCGCCTTTATGACATCCATAGTATCTGTTATTGTTCTGTATATATACCCTGTGTTTAGTATATGGTTCGAATGGCGTGAATGTCTTCCTTATAAAGAATATTCTACCTGTTCGTCTGATATATTTTATTGGGCAGTCTAGGAATTTAATTTGATAAATATTGCCATTGTTATATTTATCTGTGTGTATGATGCTTTACTATGTTTTGTCTTGTGTTTTGTGTGCGAAATGCTAATTTTATTCTCGTGTTTTTAAAAATCCTGGTAATTGCCTTACTTCTTAGACGCAATATATAAAAATGGCCCATTTTGTCTTGTGGTATCGGACGTCAGTGTGTATACTTTGTTTTTCTGGTTGTGGAAGTGATTTTTCGATTAAGTTTGTGTTATATTTTTTATTTCGTAATTCTTAATCGCGTTTGTGTTGGTTTCGTCCCATTTTGTTTTTGAATATATGTATAATCGAACGCCCGTCCTTTCCGGGTTCCTTGTACAACGTTGTCTTTGATTTCTGCCTAACGACTGTGTCCCTTGCGCCGTGTCTCTCCTGCACTGCGTATCATTCCTCTGCAGGCGGAGACCAACTTTTTCCGGGGCTCACCATTGCCTGAGTCCGTTATTTCGGCTTTCGGCGGCGCCCTACGGCTACATACCGGTCCCCATACTGCTCCTTCAGATGACATTCTGGTGACCAGACATCTGCACATTCTCAGTTGGTCGCCGCCTGCAGAGAGACAGCGTGAATCTAATACTGATCTGTTACAGTCGTTACCAAACATGTGAACACTGCCGCACTTTCAAAACGTGCTCTCTTTGTGTTATGATTTCGTTCTGCATTATGATGACCAAATATCAACATATACTTAGTTTTCTCTGTGCTTTCTTCTGGAGCAATCTTCCTTCTGCAGTCAATTCAATGTATATTCTTCTTTATGCTATTTATCCTGTCTCCCAACTGATGTACGTCTGAAAATGTCTTCTCTGTCTTCCTCGACGCTTAAATTCTCCAATAGAATGTTATCAAATACACGTTCTAGTTCCCCAGAGAAGCTGCCCTTCGTATCGTTAGTTTTATCCACTGTTGACACAAGTATATTCAGAACAATGATATCACGCCAGTGACAGCTTCTTATTATACAAATATCCTATCACTAACGGAGTCTACCCTCGTTACCGCTGATATGATTCTCTAATGTACAAGAAATCCTGTCCTTAATTCATGATTCTCATTCCCATTTCCGTCGTAAAATGTATAATCGCTTGCTGGTTAGCCCCACGACCAACTCTCAAGCTGAAGGATCTCCTCTTGTCGGCTGTCTGCCACTGCTCCTCCATCCGCAACCTGCGAACGCGTCATGCCGTGGTGATACCGGACCCACTTAACATGGGGACGGGGAAGACGTAGCGAAAAATTCTCAGTTATTTCAGTTCTAAAATTAGTTCTGTTATTTGTTACAGATAGCTACCGCGATGCAGTTTTACGTCTGTGTGTCCGTAGTTATAGCCTCAATTGTCCTGTTGCATACGGATACTGAGGCATCTACGGCAAGGAAAATTGTGCCAGCAAACCCAAGTATGTATTGCTGTTAAACAAATAGTCTGTTTAAGATTTGAGTTGTTCACGGAGGTGACTATGAAGAATAACGTCTTTTGGGATGTGGCGCCGTGCATATATTGTGTAAACAGACGTTTCGGAGGAATGTATCGCCTCCAACTTCATGGTAGAAAAATCAGCGAGCGCCAATTCTCAGAAGACGGCATTCTCCATGTAGTCTGTTATTCTTTGTGTACGTGTCGCCATGCCTGACGCGATCTCCTTAGGCTTGTCTTCCTGCAAAAGGTACCACTTGGAGCGTAGCCCCTAGTCCTTCAGTTTGGGTGTTGGGCGTGGGGTTTATAAAGCTACCCTGGAAAATCTGTTACAGAATGTCATGAACCTACTGAAGAAGCCTATGGAGGAGGTCCAGACCCACACAGAGATCTAGCCACAATAAAGAAGATATAATTAATGCAGCTGTGTACAACAGTTTTATTGACGGAACTTCACATATATATTAATCAAGAAAGCGCAACATAACTCTCGATATAATATTCTTCTATGTGATTGACATTCCACCGCTGTCGGAATCTTGGCTTCTATTGTCCTCAGAAAGGACAATTCCAAGAATCACCCCCTGTCCGTATTTCATACGTGGCTATTTCATTAGGTATTGGACAGTCTCTGTGGTCTACTGGTCAGAGTTCATGGCTACAGATCCTGAGTTCCTGGGTTCGATTCCCGGCGCTATCATATTTTCTGAGAAGTAGTGGCTCTGGAACGGGGTCCACTCAGCCTCGTGAGGATAACTGAGGACCTATTTCAAGGAAATAGCAGCTCCGGTCTAGAAAACCGAGATTAACAGCCGTGGGGATCCGTTGTGCTGACCACGTGACACCTTCTATCCGCAAAAGTTGGCACTAACTTCGCCGATAAGCGGCGGTCGCTCTGTCGGTATAGTTCGCTTGCGGACTACAGGCCAAGGAGTTATAGGATTTTTTTTTGTTCTAATATTCTGTTCATGTGCTTGATATCACATTGCGTTTAATGACTCTTCACATGTTAGAACCCGTTTTTTTTTTTGCGCCCTTCTGATAGACGTTTCACTAGTTTCTAAGTGCTCTCCTGAGCCAGTCTTGCCTTTGCAACATGTGTTGGTACAGGTACATGAGATTTCTAGTTCTCTATTTCTTGTGCTTTACCAATAAAACGAAGTATTTTGCTTACGTATTTATTTCTTTTTGCATTCAGCTTAGTCACATTTTCAGGTGTTACTTAGCTAAAACAAGCAAATGGATCGTCTTAAATGGACGTCATGACTGTCTTGTCACCGGTAGTCTCGGTGAACGTATTTTGAAGAGATTTCATACTGAGAAGCCAAACAACTTTGCCAAAGGCTCACATAAATTTTCTCTTAATAATGCTATATAGTGATCACAGAGAGATATACTTAGATAATATTACTGGATTTAGTGAGGTAAATATCCTCTGTAAGAAGGGGAATTGTTTGGACGAAGAGGTTTAATGTTCCCGTAGAGCAGATGCAATCGTTCTCTTCGCGACCACACCGTGTGTAGAATGGATTCTAGGAGCATACGACCTCACTCTCAGCATGTACTAGTGTTCTTTTTTTGGGATAAAGGGGCAGAAGCATGAAGCTAATCAATTAGTTTCGTCTATTTTTAAGTTCTGTAATTCGCCCATGCATCTCCGTGGTGTTATGCTTAGGGCGGGTTAAAAATATTACATACTTATTTCATACTTTTCTTTTTGATAGAGTGAAAATTTGTCAAATAATTACCTAGTGGTTATCGGTGTAAAAGGTAAAGTTGTACCTGTGCTTAACTAATGAAGCACTATGTATAGATCCACAATTTCTTGACCTCGGCATTAGTTGGAGGTGAGTAGTCAGCTTCACATCCCGGTCGCTTTAGCCCCGGGGAAAGAGCGACAAGTACTCATTGGACAGGAGGTTGGGTGGACCCCAGAACCTGTCTGGACGACATGGAGGAGAGAAAATTCTTGATCCTACGGGACTCGAACTCTGACCCTTCAGTAGTCCAGCTTATAGCGAGTCGCTATACCGACTAAGCTGAGTGTTCAGCATGGAAAGTAACACGTCAATATCAGGAAGTGTCCTGGTGACGACCTGTAACCTAACATGGTGACATTCTACACACTCATAGTAGTAAATTTACAAGTAGACCTAGTACTGAAAGCCAAAGATTTAATCATTAGGGACATTTATATGTACCAGTAAAATAGAAAAAAATGTTTTAGGGCTAATACTTGTTAATTTATTCCTTTATGTGCGGACGGTTGCATATACAGTTGACGCGAAACTCACCAATTGACCAATTTTTCCAGATTATCCTGGAAAATGTTATGACGACGAGACCAATGCAGCCTACGCTGTGGGCGAGACTTGGGGCAAAACAGGAAGTTGCGTCAGTTACAGCTGTGGCACAGCACCGGAAAACAATTTCGTAATCGAAATCACTGGGTAAGAAAAATATTCTGAAGTCTGTGGTCCACGGAACGCAGAGGGATGAAATGGATTCATAAGATACGAGGACAGAACGTTTAGAATGGAAGAGAAATTGAAAAAAATCAGCTTTGTTTAGGTCAGTGTTTCCAAGACTCCCTTAACTCTCGGACCTTTTCTTTGAAAAATCAAAATAAGCTAATACCCATTTCAAGACATACTTGTATTGTTCATGAAAAACCTTAATACTTTTTCGGTTAGTCCAGGAGGGAACGATATTTTATTGCACGGGTTTATAGCTTAGTTGCGACATTGGAACATGGCAAGAAAAGAAAGAAAGAAAACAGAAAAATAGAACGTTAAGGAAACAGGAAGAACGGAAACACTGTATCACACCACTTTATGAGTTATTTGCATACATTTCATAAAATGAACAAATTCGGCGGAGGTTGTGAACATCTGTCCATATTTTATGTTTGCAAAACTACTATAACATACACTACATTAACTTAAATTCTTAAGAATACAGAATTTGAAGGAACATCTATTTTATTGTTAATGATTCATGCTGATGTAATTTTATATCTCCAGCCCATTGTAGTTATCAGTCTAGCTTAATTTTGGTGTGTGCCAGTCAATGCATCCTACATTGCATGAAGTCTAAATAGAAGGGAATTCATCAAACACTGTATACGATACAGAAATTAGTGAATGACATGAAATACAGATCTTATCAAGATATATAACTTATATTAGAAATATTTATCAATGCGGCAAGTATTAAATGAAATACATATTGCACTACATTCTTCTTTTTTTTATTCGCTTAGTGGGGGGTGAAGTCCCACTGGGTCCACTCGGCACGGCGGCCACTGATTGGCCTATTGTAGCCTGCCCCGGGTTATTATGATGATGGAGAATTTGGTGGAATGGAGATTGGCAGGAGAAACCGAAGTATTCGGAGAAAACCCGCTCCAACGCCACTTTGTTCACCATAAATCCCACATGACCAGACTCGGAATCGAACCCGGCGGTGGGAAGCCAGTCACTAACCGTTTGAGCTATGGCGCGGCCGCACTACATTCTCCCTTGGGGCTGGATATATACGTTTGGGGGCCCTGGCGTGGAGACCCCGGGACAATAAAAAGTGGAGGCATGGGGGCAATAAAAACTGGGAGCCCCTATCAGTAACAAAACATGTAGGCTATGACAAATATTTATTGTTGTTCTCATTTCTTATAATAACTAAAAATACAAACTAAATTTTCGTGGTTTTAGATAAGCAAATGTCCCAATAAAACGTGTGAATACTAATTGTTTTATAGAGGCGAGAGCCCCAATCCCCTCCCCTTACATCTTATCCTATCCGTACTGGGCAGTGTGAAGTTGTGATTAAATATGCAACTATGGAATGTATCCACAAGAAATAAATATCAAGGTCAATGGCGTATGCAGAGTCGCAAAGCAGAGTACCAAAAATAATGTTCGAAATTAATGGTCTGTGACGCCGATCTCATATCGCCAGAATAATTAAATTAAGAAAATTATAATGGATGAAAATTAATGAACTGTTTGAAAGATCGAAATGGAGACAGTAAATATAATATTAAAATTGATCTTAGGAAAAAGTGTTTTATTAATGTAAATTGCGTTGAACTGTTTCAAGGTTGGGTTCAGTTGTGCGCTACTGTGCTAGCAACTTGAACCTTTGGGTGGTAACATTACAGTTACTCAATATAATTATGTCACTAACCTGATTTGTTGGTATGTTAGTTACTCGTATTTATGCAGTTAGCAAACGAATTGTTTATTTAATAAATAATGTAAACAGTAAGGTCATTAATCATCTTATTAGTAAGTTAGTTTCATTAGGCCCATTTGAGGGGGCAGTACTTCAGGGTTGTCTCATTCAACTCTGAAATATAAGAGAGAAAAATTAAGTTGATGGTTTTCGGTATTTTTTTTTTAATTATTGCTAGTGGGGTGGGACTAAGTCCCTTGTATTGCTGCCACTTTTGGCCTATTGTACCAGCCTCAGAATATAGGTGAGGGTGATTGTGGAGCAATTGGTGGAATGAAGATTGGCAGGGGAAACCGAAATACTGGGAGAAAACCTGCCTCAGTTCCACTTTGTTCACCACAAATCCTACTTGACCAGACCCGAGATCGAACCCGGGCCGACGCGGTGGGAAGCCAGCGACTAACCGCTTGAGCTATGGCGCGGCCATGGTTTTCGGTAAGTTAATGATTTTGCTGCTGGTAATAAAAGTGCCCATAGCAGACCAACAACCAGTGTATCTGTTACTTGAATCAATCATTAAATGCTTGTCACTCTTTGTCCAGTTGCGGTGCTGTAGGAGCGAGTCCTCCCTGCCGGGTCGTCAGTGGGAACCCTTCTGAGCCTTTCCCCAAATGCTGTTCCAAAGTTGTCTGCAACTAACTGGACCTACGCGACGAAGAGACAAGAGCCTTTCCCAAAATGTTGTTCCAAAGTTCTCTGCAACTAACTGGCCCTACGCGACGAAGAGGCAAGAGCCTTTCCCAAAATGTTGTTCCAAAGTTCTCTGCAACTAACTGGCCCTACGAGACGAAGAGGCAAGCAAGAACCAGGCTTTCGTTTTATGTATGTCTTGTAAAACATAAAAACTATCTCCAGATTTGAAAGTAAATATTATCCCTCTCACCTTCCATTTTGCAGCTCGATCCAGAAGTCATTATTTGAAAAATTTAAATGTCTGTGATGATAATAAAAAAATCTTATTTTTAAAATTATCTTTAAATAACAGTAATTAGGCGATTAAGTGATAGACCTATTCGCCAGCAGTATAAGTGACTTGTAAATTTATAGACTATGTAATAAAATGTAGGTTTTGCAAAGTATTTTTCAAAACATCCTTCCTTCTCAAAAGAAATACATTGCTGATCCTGCTACAGATATGGAACTATAAAAAAACGCTTGTAATTGGAAGAGTTAAGTATTATTCTGTGATAACACAATACATTAGCTCTACAATGAAAATTGAATTTGGTCCGAATTAAAATATCCCATTGCACTTCCCTTTGTACACGCTCGGCATCTCTAGTCCCGAGGCTATTGGGTCCAAGTTGCTCGGTACTCCTTACTTTTCCCCACCCCGACAAATTTCCTCTAGTCGCTGTGGCCCGCCCTCTGCTACCTGCTCAAGTCAACGTCAAGTCAAAGTCATGTTGCAACTGACGGTCAGTCAGTCTGTCAGTCTTGGTGTCGAACCCCAGCTGGGGCTCATGACCAGATATTTCTTTTGAATGAAGTTACTGTCTTGTCTACGTGGGGCGCCCTCTCTAACGAGAGGTCGGGTCTGTCATTTGTCAGTCAGTCTGTATTAATAAGTCCACTGTCTGTATTTACATACATTTACAAATACACACTTATTTCTTACGTCTATGTACAATATATACAAGGCCTCTCTTAGTCCAGGCTCGGTACAACAGATTATGCCCTTTTTCTAGTATTATTCACTACCACGGCAATCTAGTCACTTGAACGGCCGTATGTCTGACCGCCGCCAAGTTTAAGCCTCTTATACTTTCTGTGGCGGGCTTCGCCTTGTCCGATGTTGCGAATATTCTCATTATCATGATTTTGTATGACTTCTGCTTGTTTCCTGCATAAGTTTGTTATAAAGTGATATACGTACGGGGTTTTGAATGCCATGTGCAAATCGCGGACCGGTGTGCGCCTTGGAAAATTGCCAATGGTGCGGAGAAACTTGTTTTGCAGGCGCTGCAATTTCACTAGATGAGTGTCTGCCGCAAACTCCCAGGCGGGACTAGCGTAAGTCATTACGGATCTAATAAGAGCTTTGTGGAAGGTCAGTTTAATAGTAGCGCTCAATCGCTCACTTTTGAATAGGGAATATACTCTAATGAATGTTCTGAAGGCCTTGGGTTCGATCATTTCTATGTGCAATCGCCATGTAACTCTCTTATCGAAGATTACACCTAGATATTTTGCACTATTTGCAAATGGAACATTTCGTCCATTTGAAGTGAGACAAGAGTCAGGCGGTCGACGACTACGAGAGAAGACCCCCTGGGTCTTATCTTCGTTAATTTTAATATTCCAGCGCTCACACCAGGTCTCCATTGAGCTGAGACAGCGCTGGAGTTTTCTAACAGTAAAACACTCCTTGCGATCTGTCGCATACAGACAGGTGTCGTCCGCAAAGAGTGCCATGTGAACACCATGTGTTTGGGGGGCATGTCGAAGCTGGGCTTTTACAACCTCGGCGGTTGCTATGCATTGAACCTTCTGTTGTCTATCACCGGGGAAACGCCGCTTCGTTGATTCTGCAATTCCTACGCAACGGCTCACTGTTGGGATTACAATACCGCTATTGTTGCTTACTATGCAACGGTCTGTTCTAGCGTTTCCATAGAAGTGACTCTTCTGAATTCCAAACACGTTACAATATATATCATGTTTTAAGCCTATACAGGCCAGGATCCTGTTCAGACAGCCTTATCGTACTTAGACAGTACCGCATTATCGCTCTGCCTAGGCGTCAAGGAAGAGCAAGCACAGGAGGCCGACGTGTTCCAACATACTCATAACACATCTCGGATTAGATCTGGCGGCACCTATCAGAGTGACACAAATTGTGAGTGAAGAATCATGGCCAAAACGAAGCTCACGCTGTGTGTGTCAGTAATGTTGGTATTCTTTCGTTTGCGAGCAGAGGCTTACTGTAATACGGATAGGAAGATACTGGAACCGAACCCAGGTACTTCAACTAGTTTTCGCACAAGTGTAAGACGTAAAACAAAGGAAGGTGTAATCAAACGCGGCGTTTCTCAAATTGTGGTTCAGGTCCCCTAAGGGTACCAAAGTAGCTTGTCAATGACACCATAAACCCTCATTTCAGGATTTCGAATGAGGATATCTCGGTGGTATCTTTTGTTTTGAAAAGAGTCAGAATTAACTTCCATGTATGATAGTTATGAAGATGGTTACTGATCATTTATATTATAAGAGCATTAAAAATCAGTCTGTGATGTTTTTAAATGTTTTCCCCGAAAGGTCGGGGTATTGTTTTAATTACACGTATTTAGGGGCGTATCAAGCACAGGAATTTTTAGAACTGTTGCTAAAACAACCGTAGTTAATTAACGGTTGCAAACAGAATCTATGTTCTATTACTCTTTTATTAGACGTTACCTCCAGAATCTCCCCTCGAAGTACGGCATACCCAGCCGTAAAACACTCTGTGCATTATTTAGCATTTCGGAGTCTCTTTACACCACCATTCCTTCTGACATCTGGTGAGAGAAATATTAAACTAATAAGCCTACGTTTGAATTTCCCACCGCGGCTAAATATCGGAAGTATATTGGATATAGAATCTAAGATATCATAATAATGATCTAGAGTACTATCTGAAAAAAAATGTGGATCTATGCATGCACTCCCCCATACGCCTTAATGACGTTGTGCTTAATTAGTTAAGCACAGAGACAACTTTACCTTTACAGCACTATCTGATATAGACTCGTCATAAAAATATTTTAGACATATTCTAACAGCAAAAACGTATCTTGAGAAAAAACAATTATGGCTTGATGAATTACTGAATTATCAGGTGGCTCCGGTTGTTAATGTTGACAAATCCCAACAACCGGTGACGACCAGTATCTCAGTCGGCGCCAAAGTTTCGCCGTCCCTTTTCAAGGGACTGGTACAGGAGGGCTGTCTGGGAGACCACAGAGCCATTGGTTAGTCGATCGGGTAAATTGCTGCTGGTCCTCGCCAGCGCAGTGATTCTTGGTTCCAGCGCCCGCGGGACTTATGACCATATTTTTCTGTTTCACGTTTCCGGGACTCAGTCTTGCCCAACTTATAACTCATGGGAATGTTCCAGAACACCTTGGCAAGTGTTACTGCGACGTCACCAAAAAGGCTTATGACGTTAACGAGACCTGGGGCCAGACAGGGGTGTGCGTGCAATATGAATGCAGCCAGGATGAGGATGGCAACTTCGTCATCACCACTCACGGGTATGATCTGTGTTTCATGCGATCCATGGTAGTGTAGAAACACGAAGTGTGCGTACTGAAGGAGTGTCACAAGCTGCAAGCCCGAAATAACGCAAACTTCTGGGAATATGGTAACTGACTGACTTGTTGCATCTTTGTCTGAGTAGGTAGTGACCACGTTGCCTGACTTAACACTTTATTGCATGCTTAACTACCAGATACATTGACTTATTACTTTCCAGAATGACAACTGTCAGTCTGACAGAAATACAGCCTTCCTGACTTAAATTGAGGCAGCAGAGTGAAGTCCGGATGACGGTACTTGAGATTTCATCCTACCTACTTTAATATTATCCTCAGACAACATTCGGCCAAAGTTAGTTGCCTGTGGCACTTATTACTTCACTGGGGCTTCGGAAAGTAGTCCCAGTGATGACAGCGACGGCAGCCTACGTCAGCATAGGCCCCATCCGACATTGGTTAGCAGCTCAAGGCCCCTATTGCGTCACCGAAGCTTTGGAAATAAGTCCTGTGGATGTTGTGCAGGACGGTGTTCATGGCTTTTCTCTCTCCTGCTACTGTTGTAATGGGGGTACGGTAGCGTAGTTGGTTGAGGCACTTTGCTACAAGCCGAAAGGTCGCGGGTGCTAGCACCGATGTTGATTTTTTCAATTGACCTAATCCTTCCAGCCACACTATGGCCCTGGGATCGACTCAGCCTCTAATATAAATGAGTACCAGGAATTTTCTGGGGGATAAATAGCTTGTGGCGCGTAAGATTGACAACCTTACCGCCATCTGTGAACCAACTGTCTAGATAATGTGGGACCCTCGACGTCTCAAAACCCTATGGGCCTCTATGGCCTGTTACAGGGATAGCTTTACCTTTTACTACTGTTGTAGTACCTTGAGGCCTAAGATCAACCAGCCAAAAACACTTGTCGCCGTCACTACTAACCGAAAACAGAATGGCTAGACTTACTTACTTACTTACTCATGGAGCTGAGCCCTTCTGGAGGAGCCACCAATTCTGCAGCTATTCAAGAATTTCCCAGCATTTTATGGAACCTGAAGGTTCATTACCGTGTTCCCAAGAGCCCTCCATTGGTCCCTATCCTGAGTCAGATCAATCCAATCCATACCATTCTATCTCTCTAAGATCCATTTTAATATTGTCCACCCAATTACGCCTTGGTCTTCCCAATGGTCTCTTTACTTCTGGCTTTCCCACCATTATCGTATATGCATTCATCGTCTCCCCCATTCGGGCTACATGCCCTGCCCACCTCATCCTCCTTGACTTGATCATTCTAATTACACTTGGAGAAGAGTACAAGTTATGAAGCTCCTCATTATGCAGTTTTCTCCAACCTCCTGTCACTTCATCTCTCTTCGGTCCAAATATTCTCCTCAACACCTTGTTCTCAAACACCCTCAGTCTATGTTCCTCCCTTAATATCAGAGACCAAGTTTCACACCCATACAGAACCACAGGCAAAATTATAGTTTTGTATATTCTAATTTTTATGTTTCTGGACAGCAGACGAGAAGACAAAAGGTTCTGGACTGAATGGTAGCAAGCATTACCCGAGTTCAATCGCCTCTTAATTTCCTCCTGAATCAGGTCTCGATCTGTTATCGTTGTTCCCAAATATCTGAACTGTGCCACATTTTCAAAACATCTGTTTACTATATTTACGCTCGTATGTCATGATTTTGCCCTGCATTTTGGTGACGAGACAGTAACATATACTTAGTTTTCTCAGTGTTTACTTCTGGACCACGCTCTTTACTTGCGTCAATTAAAGTTTGTGTGTTTTTCTTTATGGTATCTACATTATCACCCAGAAGATTCACATCATCGGCATAGGCCGATGGTTAGACTAGTGGGGGAACTAAGAGGAAGTACTCAAGAGAGGAAAATTCGAGGTAGTAGAGCGAGCGTCGATCTATGAAACTTCCGGAGCTTCAGTGTGTTTTAATTCTGTGCTGCTTGCAATATCAAATCATAACAAAACTGAATATCCATTTTCCTGTTCTGAAATTCTCTATGTACTCAAGGTGTGTGGCCTGGGAAAGACGTTCCACGTATGGCTGGGAACAATGGCACTTGAGGCTTTCTCCTGTCATCTTACTGTTCCATTTCCTTCAGTCCCCTTTGGCTCATGTAAACAAGTCAAAAACACTTGTCACAAGCAAAAGTTTTCTGGTGAATGTCACTACAAATATCCGTTCGAGTAGAATGGCTACACAGGTGTATGATTAAATATAGAGATAATTGTCTAGCAACAGAATTCGAAGGTTCCACCTCGTCAGCAGTAAACAAATAACTCGGTGCTTTTAGTCCGCAAGCGAATTATACCGACATAGCGACCACCGCTTTTCAGCGAAGTTACTGCCAACTTTAGCGAATAGAGGTTGTCGCGTTGTCAGGGCAACGCACACGGCCATTAATTTCGGTTTTCTAGATCATAGCCGCTATTTCCTTGAAGTAGCTCCTCAATTATCATCACGAAGCTGGGTGAACCCCGTTCCAGGCCCACTACTCAGAAAATCTTGTTGCGATGGGGAATCAAACCCGGACCTCGGGATCTGTAACCAGGAACTCTGACCACTAGACCGTAGAGGCGGTCCGTTAGCAGTAAAGATTTCCAAAATAATAGAACTTGAGCCAGTTCAACTCAATTCACATCATATTCCACGGATCCGTTTTCATAGCTTGTTATTCCCTATCTACTTTGTCATCAATGAGTTTCTCCAGCGAGTACTTCTTGCTTTCGAAATCGGAGCATCCTACTTAATTTACTTTCTGAAGTAAACTGAACTCCGGAGGGCAAAGTATTGCTTGATAAGCTAACAGTCGCTCAGCAACCGAAAAGATATCCGTCATTTATCGATCCTGAAGAGTCATTAACTTGTTTAAAAGAGATCGCCATTGAACCCTATCCTGAACCGAATGAATCCAACCCACACTTTTCCAGTCCAGTTCTTTAAAAACTATTTTTGCATTCCCTATTCTCCGATTGACGCCTAAGCATTCAGTTATCTCATCCCTTAAAATTTCCCGATAAAAATTTCATAAGCATATACATTTTTCAAATACCTGTGATACACATCCCACCCATCCTCCTTGATTTCAAGAGCTCAAATTATGAATCTTCTTATTACACCTATGTAATCTTCTCTAGTGCACTTCCACTCAAGCCCAAATATTCTTCTCACACCCTGTTCTCAAACACCCTCCTTTAATATGACAAAATCAAATTTCACAACCATACAAAACAACGAGTAGAATTAAAGTTCGTAATGGTTTAGATGGAAAAACTATGTCTTACTGAATGGCAGCTTAAATTTTCGGAAGTAAATGACCCCAGAATTATAGCAGTACCCAAGGAGATACTTTATTATGATTTCAGATGTCTCGACACTTCGGAGTTCGAAAATGACGTCTACTGTTGGATTATGGAGGGAGACATTTCCAGTCCTTACCCCAACTGCTGCCCAACAGTTGCATGTGCTTAGTCGAAGTTACCAGGCAACGTACAGTAATGTAGAAGAAAAGAGACACGTCTATATGCAATTAAAACTTTTATAGGAGAAGTGATGTAATTCAGTTTTCCATAACTTGTGGAAGCAGGCAAAAACTGAAAAGTCTAGGCGAGTGGAAGTTGAAACTATCTCAAAGAAGGTACAGATGAGGGAATTGAGATTATCTTTTACTAAAGCATCCGGCGAAGTATCCTAACACTTTTTTTCTTTCTTTTCATTTCTCTCTTCCTTTTTCTTTTGGAACTACGCAATTCCTGGGCCAAACCCTTCAAGCTTTCCGTTGCTTGTCAAATGTATGTGAGCCAGAATAGCCATGTAACTTTTTTCCTTAATAGCATAATTATCCTTGTTCATATATATATATATATAGGTTTATATTTGGTTACTAATATGAAACACATCGAAATTTTAATATAGCAATTTACGATTTCCACTTCAAGTTACAATTTCCACAGTAAATCCTTCCACTGATCCACTCTTACACATTATAGCCATTAAGGGATACTCTGAAATAATTATTTCAATTAATATGCACGCTATTAATTCGATAAGTTCTGGAAGACAGGTTGAAAGGCTAGATAGAGGGAACGCTCTTCCGGCAAAGGTTTGAATACGGGTCGAAGCAGAGGTACTTCTCATCTTTCATTTATGCCATCTTTCGATCTATTTGTAACTACTAGTTAGAAGAACCGCTAAGTAACAACAGAACAGCAAGGTGTTGTTATTAGGAAAGACGAGATATTTGCTACTATGGCTTGCAATTTTCATATATATGAAGCAGGCATAGAAATATTCGTAATAATTTGTGAATTTGTATGCACCTTCGCCGGGTGATTATGATGATGGAGAATTTGGTGGAATGAAGATTGGCAGGGAAAACTGAAGTACGCGGAGAAAACCTGCCCCAGCGCCAATCTGTCCACCACAAATCCCACTTAACTAGACCCGGGCTCGAACCCGGCCGCCGCGGTGGGAAGCCAGCGACGCCAGCGACTAACCGCTTGAGCTATGGCGCGGTCTGTTACCGACCGAGACTAGTTATATAATTTAACACTTCTACATTCTTGGATACGCACGCGTCATTTATGAGACCTTCAGAACACGTTTCATTACCGTAGTTATCATTAAAATATATTTTTGTCGTCAAGGTCCCAATGCTTTTCCTATAGACAGAGGAATGTGGAAAGAAATTGGCTTGGTTTCTACCGAAGCACGTAATAGCAAAATAAACACTTTTTCGGAGTTTTTCTTCATATGAACAACAGTTTTGTTCGCATATATTGCCTACAATTATGAGTTTTCAAGATAGGCAGATACAGACACACTGATTTTCTCTTGGGATATGAAAAATGTAACATTATTTCTTAATGAACTTTCATTCTCGTTAATTGTGTGTGCCATTAATGGTGCGTGCGGCGCGTTGATGCTCCGATAATGAAACATGCGTGTTTTGGTGTAACAACAAGAGCGGTGCGTTGACTCGAAGATGTGTTTAATTAGCTTACTAATTTGGTATTTATTTGACTTATTAGATTACATAGAGATCAGGGATCTGTGAATATAGATTTTTTCTCCTCTTGCTCCCACTTTGGAGCATAGGGCTGATTTCTCAGTTTCATGATCATTTTACAGATGGTAGGGCTCTTTGGACGGGTGATTAGCTCGTCGTAAGGTCTCTACCTAAACAAAGAATAAACACATACACATACTGAACATCCATGCCTTGTGTGGGATTCGAAACCACGATCCCGCCTTCCGAGAGAGCGAAAACAGCCTTAGACCTCTCTGCTACCGTGAAGAGCTGAATATAGAATTAGTGGTCAATAAATTCACTGATATTTCTCGGACACGAATATTCATTATCTCATCCATATAAGACTGCCATTGGCTCTCATCCTGAGCCAGACGAATTTTGTAGACATTCTCATATTAATATTACAACCCCATATACGCCTAGGTCGTCCGGCTACCCTCTGAGGTTTGTGTGCATTTCTTCCCTCTCCCATCTGTAACCCCGTTCATCTTACGTTCATCATTCCGATAACATTTGATGACGGGCACAAATACTGATGTTTCTCTTTACGCAATTTTCTGTCTCCTATTCTTTTTACGAGTAGCTGTTCTTTTTAGTCCGCAAGCGAACTATACCGACCGAGCGACCGCCGCTTATCAGCGAAGTTAGTGCCAACTTCAGCGGATAGAGGGTGTTGCGTGGCCAGCGCAACGAATCCCCACGACCGTTAATCTCGGTTTTCCACACCGTAGCCGCTATTACCTTGAAATAGCTCCTCAATTATCCTCACGAGGCTGAGTGGACCCCGTTCCAGACCCACTACTTCTCAGAGAATGTGGTAGTGCAGGGAATCGAACCCAGGACCTCTGGATCTGTAGGCAGGAACTCCAGAGGCGGTCAAGCTTACGACCTTTCAAGTGACTAGGCTGCCGCTGTAGCATAAGATATGTAAGATAGGCATGATCTGCTCTGCAAAACATGTACTGACAGAAGATTTACGCGTAGTTCAAGAACAAGATTTTTTTCGATAACATGCTGTATGTGAGAAATGTACACTTGACGAAAGGCAAAGTATAATTATAAGAGGCAAACCCACTTTCTTGTAAGAGAGGATGTTACATAAGGACTATTACCGCAAAGGTTCAGTTGGGGAAAAAAAATCTCTGGTCGTGGGTCTCAAGGGGTTTGACGCCAAGACAAACTGATTGGCGGTAAACCGCCAGTCGTAAAATAACTCTGACTTTGACTAAGTTCATTTGGACGGGAGCCGCCATTCAGAGAAGACTTGAGCTCGGAAGCAGAGGAATAGCCATTGTTAGAAGCCTTTATAACAGGAAATGACTTGTGGAGACTGCAACAGACTGAGAACACTAGTCTGTGTGTTCTAATAATTTTTAAGGTGTGGGGATCAGCGATGGCGCAATAATCAATTGTAATGACGGGTTGTGTGTTAAAGTGTTCAATAAATCCGATATCCAGTTCAAAACCCCGCTGAGAGTCTCTCTAAGAGGTGACAATATTTAAAAGAACTTAGGTCGAGTTAAATAAATTTAACCTTAAAAATTTTTATTGGATTTACTTGACTGGTTGGCATTTATATAGTTCGATCGACTTCAAATAATCGATTGTTTGACTAAAGAGTTATTTAAAGTAAATCTATGACCTGTGTGTCTATGTTCTCTGAAACCATCTAAAAGTGGTTGATTTGGCCAGATATGCCCTGTTGAATGGGCAATTTGCTTCTCCTAAGGAGGCAGTGACTCCGGAAATTAATCTCGAAATACCCACATACTTCCTGTTAATATCAGGAAATAAGAACTCCATGAAAGGAAGTCGCTACTTCTCGAACGTAAACATGGGATGTGGTAAATCACTGCACAAAACAACAGCGGTTCCCTCATTTTTTCTGGCGCCATCAATGAAGTACGAAAAATAGTTCCCGTTTTTTATATAAGACGCGTACAAAATAGTTCCTCCGCGAGTACACAATACTTCGGACGCGGGCTTACTTTCGTCATCTTTCACACAAGGGAAAGGATCCTGCGTCGTTGGTCCTGTTAGAGAGATTATCGATCATTGGGCTAACACCAGTAGTAGCCACTCTTTCATTATCCCTGATGAAGGAAGTGGAGCCAGTTTGTGAAACGTTGTGTATATCAAAAATACACGAGAAAATGAACAACATTTAACATAATTTTCGCATAACGAATCAATTGTTGCCACAAACCTTTACAGAATCGTGATGGACACAATTTTATGATGATTTGGAATCCGCGATTAGCAAGATGGTATATTGGCTTTTCATTCATCATGGCATTACGGCCCTTTGTTGGGCCCTGGCGTAGTTTCGCACTCTTTTTTACACAGTCGGTGGGACTCCTTGGACGAATGATAAGACCGTATCAAGGCCGCTACCTACATACAGGACAATACAAACACAGATATCCATTCCTTGAATAGGATTCGAACCCACGATCCAAGCGTTTGAGCGAGAGGAGACAGTTCATGCCTTAGACCGCGCGTCCACTGTGATCGGCAGTATGACTGTCTAGTCTTGTAAAAAGTAAACAAAGGCTAAGTTAACCCTCAAATTAATTAATTAAGCACCGTACCATGAAGATATAAGGTAGAGTGGATGTATAGCTCCATCACCCCAAACCACTACACTAGATGGAGGTGAGTTGTCAGCTTCACGCCCCTGCTGCTTTAGCCCTCGGAGAAATAGTCACCAGTATCCATTCTATAAGGAAGAGACTGAATGGGTCCCAGAGCCGATCTGGATGTTGTGAAGAAAGAAATCTCTTACTCCTACCGGGAATCGAAACACAACTATACGTTTTTCCGACGTGTAGCATAGTAGCTATACCGACTGGGCAATTCCGGCTGCCTTTAGTATTGTGTTTTATATACATATCCCCAATTTAATTTATTTTTCAAAGTAATGTCTTACATTATAACGTATAATACAGAGTGGGGTGCAGAAACTTCCTTTTTTTGAAGGCGAATAAAAGAAAAATTATTGCTGATAGACAAAATTTATGTTTAGCTAATGAAAGAACATACTTTAAAGTTTTAAGTCATGTAGTTTTAAACAAAATATCTTGAAGGTGGTGGCCACCGTTCTCTATGCACTGATGCAACCGTTTTCTGATGTTCCCCTCTGCACGTTCCAACATGTGTACCGGAATTTGGGCTACTTCCTGCCGAATAACAATCTTCCGCTGAAGCAGGTTTGCGGGGCGATGTTTAAAAACCTCTGCCTTGAGGTATACCCATAAAAATCATGGGGCGTTAGATCAGGTGAGTGCGCTGCCCACGGGATGTCACCTCGAAGCGAGATGAGCCGTCCGGGGAACTTTTCCCTCAAAACTGTCATCGAAGCTCGGGCTGTGTGGGCCGTGGCACCATCCTGTTGGAACCAGACATTTCCTAGATGCATTTCTTCAAGAGCTGGTTCGAAAAAGTTTTAAATCATGTCCACATACCGCTGTGAATTGACAGTAATTGCATGATTGTCTTTTTCAAAAAAATAAGGACCAATAACTCCAACTCTCGACAACGCACACCACATCGTCACCTTATCACTGTGAAGTGGCCTCTCATGTAGCTCTCTGGGATTGTTACCACTCCAATAGCGCATATTCTGCTTGCTGACATATCCGGATAGGTGTGCCTCATTACTA